CATCAGATTGGTACCTCGTGGCAGACATTGGTTGAAGTTTTTACAGACTTACAAACTGATACAGATGACGGATTTTCTTTGTTCCTTTTTCAGAGAACTTGAGTTATTAATTTCTGTCAGGACCTAAAGACAATTTACACCAAAATCTGACAAGGTGGATCTGGAGAAAATTACCAACCCTGACTTTATGAATAAAGGTGTGTAAGCTTGTAGCACTTACTTCTAACGCTCCAAACTTGACAGAAACCCTCCAGAATTAACACAACATAAAGATAAAACATCATAAATTTGGATTGTTTCTTCATCTTGACGAATGACATTCATGATGGATTAAAACCCGTTTGGTTAAAAGGGTGAGTATCGAGACAGATTCACATTGCTTATTTCTCCTCCATCCATTGATGTAACCACAGAAACTTCATCCACACACACACACACACACACACACACACACACACACACACACACACATGCAGTCACACTCATGCACACACTGCATCCCTAACATGCCAATGGTCGCCATGGCAACTCCATTCTCCACATCTCTGCCTCTCCTGCGTGTTCCCCCCTCCTCCTCCTCCTCCTCTTCCTCCGTCTTGCCAAACAGAAAATCCATAGGAGGGAGGAGAACGATAGAAAAACTGCATCGATTTGTCCTGAACGCACGTTTGTTTGTGTTTGTCAATGTTGTGGTGACCGGATGCTCCGAGTCGTCATGTTTGATTTACTGATTTATTCCTCTCTGGTGTTTGTGTGAAAGGACATTTTACTTAGAGCTTAGAGGAGAAAGGAAATGGAGGTGGACATTTGAGGAAAGCAAAAAGCTACAAGAGTGAGAGATTACACAGGTTCATAACGTCTGTGTTTGTCTGAAGGTGTGGTCTTGGTCCAGACCGGTCTCAGGTCTAGCTCTTGTCTCGTTGTCAGACTGGGCGGGCTCCAGATTTTGAGTCAAGATGGGTCAAGACCACGACTGATCGGCTATTTTTCCACGTCATTAATGTCAAACGATAAATCAAAAGAATTGAGATGAGTCACTACATTTCAATTTTGATTAATCACATGTTTGCCCCAACCTTGGCAGCACACGTCATAATGATCACAACATGATGAAGAAACATTTCACAAACTATGAGTTCAGAGCAACAACAATTAAAATGTGCACATTGGTTCACAGATAAAGTGCAGAAGTCGTCATCACAGATTACAAGTTAAAAACACACAGATCTGCAGTTTGAAGTCAATTTGTAGAAAGTTTCCTACAGGGGGCAGCACTGATCTAAACTACTACTTTGAATTTCACAACACTTTTTGAAATGCTTTTACTTTGATTTTTTTTGTACTGACTCAAGCTAAGGATACTTCCTGTTTGGATACAAACCCGCTTTTATTTTGAAAGGAAATAATTAACTTCAGACACATTAAAAGGTTACAACATTAACTCTGACACGGACAAAAGGACGTTGTGACCGACTGAAAAATGAAAACAGCCGAAGAAGACGTAAAAGGAAAAATGAATCGCTAAATTTCAATAGTTAATCTCGATTAATCACATTTATAATCGCATGTTTGAAATTCCATTATTTCCTATTTGAAAATGAAAATGGTCAGGCTTTTATTTTGAATGTTTGTACTGTCTTTAACTACTGTACTTGCTGTGTGCTTTTATTTTGAAATACAGTAAGGCTCCTCTGGTAGAGTGAAGTTTAGGACATGAAGTTAAGCACAGAAACAGGAAGTGGTTAGGGATCCCAAAGTGAGGTCAAACAGCTCAAAGGAACGGTAACAAAGGTCAATGTGTGATGTCATAAGGTCAATGTGTGATGTCATAAGGTGGATATTACTGTCTGAGAGTTTGTTAAAGTGAAATGAGACATTCAAAGATGCAGCAGTGTCCTTCTTTTACATCACTGAGACTACAGGGAGACACTGAGGACCACTATCTACAGTGAGCCTGGAGGGACAAAACAACATGAGCGCCCTGATGTTAAAATATTCATGACTTTTAAGAAGCATCTCAGAAGTTCTCAAGAAACACACCCCCAGCTTTCATGAAATCTTACACAGCAACACTTCTGCATTCATCGTCTTCACGTCACTTTAGACACTTCAATGAAAGATTCACGTCTTTCTCGTCTGCACTTCCTGTTTTCACTTCCTCACGCTTTCCTCAGAATGTTCACAGAGTGAACTGTGATGCACTTCTCTTTGGCCTTAAATATGTGTTTATATCTCTTCTTGGTGAGTAGACGTTTGCCATGGTAACAGGTTTTTATATCGTGTGTCAGCCGGGGTTTCCAAACATCTCCTGACAGATTTCTTTCTTCCTGCGTCTCTTTTTGATCAGAAAACATTTCCTCCTGATGTTCTCGGGTATAAAGTCCTCCTCTCCCCAACAGGGTCACAGCCCCGTGCTGGCTGATTGGACAGAATGGACAATCACTAATATCTGTCTGGTTTACAGCCTGAAACTCTCCTCAGTGTCTGATGAGCTTCTTCTGTCATCTAGTGGACGTTTGCAGACACTGCAGGAGGTCTGTGCTGGAGCATATTAAAGTAAATCTCATATTGTGCTCTCTTTCTGTTTGCACAAAGACTGGACAACTGTCTCAGTTAGATCATGATCTGACACTGTTTTAAGGGAGTTTTGGTTCTTTTCTTTAGCGTCATAGCAGAGATCAGATCTGCGTCGAGTCATAACCCAACATATCTGTGTACAAACAGGATCCCCACTGAGGTAAAATCCTTGTTTTTTAACGACTAACCAGAGTTACATCCTTTTCTCTGACTTCTCAGACTTCTCTAAGCCACCTGTAATCAGAGACTTTGTAATCTGGATCCAGCGTTTAATCTGTGCCCGCAAAATAAAACGAACAAAGAAGCAGGTCGAGGCAGATCAGCACCTTTTACAGTAACTTACAGTAATCGTTCACTTATACTGACAGATTCTCGACAACACATGGGGAAGGGGGATCTGGAAGTCTGAGCCCGCCTGTGAGCTGTGACTCGACACAGATTAGGCAAACTGTGAGACCAGGGGCGTATCCAGACTTTTTTGACTGGGGTGGCCCAACTGCAGCCCCGACTTAAGCAGGGGTGGCCAATTATTCATCTAACTTCCCCCATCATATCTACTTTATAAAACAAGATCATGGAAAAACGTGTATATATATACATCCATTGTCTGTACCGCTTTTCCAGTTAGGGGTCGCGGGTGGGGGTCATTGGGCGGGAGTATGGGGTAAAAACCCTGGACTGGTCTCCAGTCTATCACAGGGCTGACCTATAGAGACAGCCAACCAGCCGCCCACGGGCCATTTTAGAGTCACGCCCCCTGCACACAAGACGATGATTTTTTGGTCAGATTTATGGTCTTGGTCTTGTCATGGCTTCACCCTGCCTTGGTCTGGGTCTTGACTCGGTCTTGATCCCTATATGTCTTGGTCTTGACTCGGTCTGGTCCTGCCTTGGTCTGGGTCTTGACTCGGTCTTGATCCCTATATGTCTTGGTCTTGACTCGGTCTCTCCCTGCCTTGGTCTTGGTCTTGACTTGGTCTTGATTCCTAAATGTCTCGGTCTTGTCTCGGTCTCGGAGCACTCTGGTCTCGGGTATGTCTTGGTCTCACTAAATGTGGTCTTGACTAAAACACTACCTGCATGTCACTTAGACCCCAATATTTGTAAAGAAAAGTCTTTAAAAGAGTTTTTAAAAACCTTAAGACCTTTTCACAATCTTAGGTAAACAGCAAACATATAAGGTCCCACTTAGGGTAGGGTTAGGGTTAGGACTAGGGTTTGGACTCACACAACAGCTGATACAACAGGTGTCATGTCCAGCCTTTACTTCTCTCACAGAGAAACCGAATTCGGACTAGAACGGGTCCTTCTCCTCTGCCTTGGCCTTTTCTCAAAGCTGAGGTTGTAAGACAGTGAAGCTATCTCTGTGCAGCTGAACAGAACAGATGATCGGGACTGTCGCTGATAATCACCCGTCAGCTCAGCCGCTCAAGAGACCAGATGGTTCACCATCGTCATCCAGCAGGTGTCTGCGTTGACTCCCGGCTCCTCCTGTTCACGCTCGTCTCATGATGTGATTCATCAAAGGCTTTCCAAGAAAACAGCAGAAGAAGAAGAGTTCTCATCTTCCTCTCGTGAACTAAACAGCAGGACGCTCACTTCTCCTTTTCATCATTTCATCTTGATTCTAGTTCTTTATTTAGGATGTCTAGAAATTGATCTTCAGGGTTCTTCTACAGACTTTGAATACTTCTGATTCCTTAATGTGGCATTTAAATTACTGACATGTCATGGAAAAATAAAGATCTAACTCATCTTGTTGAGACTTCCCGCAGTGCCCTTTCTCCATATATTTGCTAAGTTTCACCAATTTATCAGATAAATCACAACATTTCAGTACCTCAGAACATTTTTCAAGTGTGTTAGAACACACTAATAAATTGGTGACACTTAGCAAGAGTAGTGTGCAGGATTTTTTCTTTTCAAGTAATAGTTTGTGGCCCTACGCAGCTACCTCATGAGATAGTTGGATGTGCAAACACCTCCTTTTATTTGCATTAAGGGCTTTCAGATTTGCCTTTTAAAATCTTTATGAAATCTGAGGAAAGCAATCAGTATTCTCCCAAATTAAAAGTTGATCCCAGCTGTCATTGGGCGAGAGGCGGGGTTACACCCTGGACTGTTCACCTGTCAATCACAGAGACAGACAAACACACTCATATTCACACCTAGGGGTCATCTAGAGATCACCAGTTAACCTAACCAGCATGTCTTTGGACTGTGGGAGGAAGCCGGAGAGAACCCACACATGCACGGGGAGAACATTCAAACTCCACACAGAGAGACTCGTGTCAGTCAGGGATTCGAACCAGGAACCTCCTCGCTGCCTCGAGGCGACAGCGCTAACCACTGTAGCACCGTGCAGCCCTAAAACATAATACAACAAACTGTGGGAGGAGATAATAAAGCAGCAGACACGTGGCTTATATAAAAAATTAGACCCCTTTTTTATTGTTCTCATATATAAAAGAAATACAAAAAAGAAACATCGACACGGGGCGAGGTCGGAGTGGGAAAGGGACTCTGGGTTTTTGGGTGGGGGTGGGGGTTAGGCGACATAAAAATGGGAAGTGAAACGACGGGAGGAACGTCACACAGTCCGCTGGGAGGGGGCGGGAGGGGGTTCAGTCAAAAAAGACATCGACATATGAGGGCGGGTGAAAACCTGTCCTGTCCCTCCCTCCCTCTTTCCCCCACCACCTCCTCCTCTTCATCCTCCTCCTCCTCCTCGCTCAGGAACAACGAGGAGTTTCAGTCCTACAAACATTCATCATGAGCAGAGCTGCTTCAGGAGGCAGAAAGAAATGTCATTGGTTGGGTTAAACCTGGGTGGGAGGAGCCAAAGTGTGTATACTCCAGCGCACTTGGACCAGTTAGCCGATCCAGAAAACTGAAATGAAGTCACCGAGGGTTTGAGGGACTTCTTCCCTTCTTCGATGGCGTTCAGGATGTTGAGACGTGTTACCACAGAAACCACAGTTTGAACTCGTTAGCTCAGGTGAGGTAACATGGTAGCTACTCGTCAGGGTGTAAGGGTTTAAGCTTATTCAACCAGGAGCTCATCCAAAATGGCTGCTTTAATGTACATGCTGCCTTCACTGTCGCAGTCTTCATCAGTCCCTCGAGGAATTTTCTGTGTAGCGGTTGTTGCAATTTAAAAAATGCTGGATGGGTGTAATGCATGATTCAATGTTTTAATGTTTTTTTGTGTAATGCATTAACAGCTGGAGTGTCAAAGATGTGAATTAGGTAACGTACATGTTGACGCTTGGGGTTACAACAAACGGATGATTGGTCAAATTTGCAAAGAAGTTTTGGAGAATGGCAAAAAATGTTTTGTCGACTGAATCAGTGTGCATTAGCCGATTCAACGCTTCACAACTTCCTGGAGGAGCTGATTAAAGAAGCCCTGACGAGTTAGTCTGTAAACTAACAACAACATCTCTGTTTACATTCACTTTTTCTCACCATAACAACGAAGGACTTCCTTGCAGAACATTTGAAAAGTTGACCGTTTTCTCTGATCTCGTGCCCGGGCTCGACCTTTACATTATGTCATATGTTTTTAGAATCTGTCTAATAATCTGTTTCACTGCTTTCTGATTGGTCAGAAACTGATAAGACAATTGATAAGGGCAATTCAATGAAATGCTCAATTAGCCCTGAAGAAGCGCTCCTGACATTAGCCTTTAAAAAAGGGACTCTTCAGCCTTCACTCAGCCAAACATTCACTCCACCGCTCGGATCATTTCAGCCTGAGGAGCAGCTCTGCCTTTGAGAACTCTGCAAAGGAACTGAAACTCCAGTCCGCTCTTCACGACAGCTCCGTCTTATCCGCCACCTCGGTGTGATGCCCCCCTTCCCCCTCGGAGCCGCCGGGCGCTAACAACGTCCTGCGGTTGTAGTGGTGGTGGCCCTTCATGATGCCCGAGTTGTTGTTCTCGTTGAGGATCTGCTTCTGCTTCTGCCGGTTGAGCGACTGCACCAGGCCGAGCACCACGGCGGCCAGCGAGTACTGGCCGGTGATCTTGCGCGGCTGCATGATGAGCGGGTTGGGCTGCACGCGGCCCAGCAGGAAGTGCGTCCGGATCTTGCCCTCCTGCTCGCTGATGCCCTTCACGTAGATCTCGCCGCGGTACTCGAAGGCGAAGCCGCGCTCCTTCAGGATCAGGTAGGTGTCCTCGGGCACCTGGATCTTCCCGCTGACCCCCGTGCTGTCCATCCGGCTCGACAGGTTCACCGTCTTCCCCCAGATGTCGTACTGCGGCTTCTTCGCGCCGATCACGCCCGCCACCACCGAGCCGTGGGCCATTCCTGTGATGGACACACAGAGGACACATGTTCTGATATCGGATCAGACGTTCAACACAAACATCAGAAATGCCTCCAATATTGCCTAAACTACCAGATCTTTAAAAAATGAGTAAGCACAAATCTGATGGCGGTAGTAATCATCTTCAAATGAACGTGTTTTATTGACAGGACAGCTGCAGAGAGACAGGAACTGTAAGAAAGAGAGGCTGGGGATGACGTGCACCAAAATTGGTCCACTCAACATGATGGCAACAGGCAGAGACCACAGACTGTAAATATTAATGGAGGAAGTCATTAATAGTGATGTCACCCATCTGTTCCTGCAGGGGGCGCTGGAGGCTCATCAGCAGTGGCCGGCATGTTGGAAATCCTGTCTCAGTCTAACTTTCAGTCAACCTAACGACAGGCTGAGAGCTGGAGCTGAGGCGGGTTTTAAACCTCTTGACTGATCGTTACCTCGCGCCCACCTGTCAATCATGTCAGCTACACGCCTAACTATGGATAACACGTATTGTTTTCAAAATCAAAACACAGCCGTTTTTTTTTATTATTCACCCCCTGTGCAGTGTGTGACAGTGATGACAATAAGTAATCAGACCTATTTTTGGTGTGTATGTGTGTTTTGACTTCCAGGCTATTTCTATGTTTTATAAATATTCAGTTTTTCTGTAATTCAGCTCCCCCTACTGTATAGGGGTGGTTTTGCATCACTTCCTTTAGCGAACAGGAAGTAGGAAGTTTAGTGTGCACATGGTCTAGAATTTGTGGCAGGAGCTGAAGAGTAAATCTGGTGCCATCCAGTTGTTTCTCCAGCAGAGGCATTGCTTGTAAGTTGTTCAGATGTTTATTTAGGTTTTCACCTTAAGATATTGGAAAGTATCTTTGTAATATTATTACATTTGCATACATTAATGCATGTCATTTAAACAATTAAGACACATCTACAAGCATAAAAGCATCACTCTACAGTATGTATCTATACTCTATGTGGTGCTCACTCCACCAACCAGCGGCCAAAGATTAACTGGACTTCTTCTCCACCTTGTAAATAGAAAACAAATACACCTGAGCGTCTCGCTTCAAGCCCGTCTGTTTCTGTTTTCTTTCTATCATCATTAAATCCAGTCCACATCTGGAGTTCACAATTCTGCAAAGTCAAGTTTAAAACAGCAGCCAAAAACACTGAAGATGACGAGAGAGGACACTGAAAGCAAACTAAAGATCTCACCGATCCTCAGCTCAAAGTTGTTGAATGAGTGTTTGTTGATCTCCTGGATGCTCTCCTTAAGAGCGATGGCGAAGTCGGCCAACGCACACAGGTGACCCCATTTATCTTCACATTGCTGTGGGAGGAAGAAGAGGAAGAGTGTGAGTCAGGACTCAGGCTGGAGGGCGGCAGGTCAGATGTGATACCCAACGATCAGTGAGTGACGAGCACAGGTTTGATTCAGGACCTGGAGGGACTCACCTGTTTCTCCGGAGACAGACCGGAGACGGCCATGTAGGTGCTGCCGATGGTCTTGATCTTCTCGATGTCCACGAAACGTTCCTCCCCGAGCAGCTGTGACAAACAGGAGGAGGTCTTTAACATCACAGACGGTTTACAGTCAGGATCAGAAAATCTCCTGATCGTGTGGAACTTGACGAGCTGTGAGATATAAATCCATTTCAAATCCTGGCATGTAATGTGTGACACGTGATTCAGGGTTATTTAGGGTGCAGTCACAGTAGGTAACCCGTCCCGTGTCCGAGTACGTTTGAGGTCTAAGTGAATGCAGGCCAGTGGGGGGATCGGGACAGCTGGGCCTAGTGTTACTTTTTGTAACAGACCCCAAAATATTTCTAATGCAGGCCCAGGTTTTTTAAAATGTATTAATTCTGATAAATGAATTGTACAATTACATAACGTGGTGTTTTGAAGCAGCTTGACTTCAGACTTGAATTTTAACTGGAGAGCCCTGATGTGAGTCATTATACTCCTCTTTTCAACCTTCTTATTTCATGCAGAATACAGACGGCTGCAGCAGAAATAAAGGAGGAATAACTCACTATGCTCACTATGAGCACCAACAACGTCTAAAAGTGACCGTGCCCGTGCTGCAAACTGCATCCAGAAAAAAGCTGCTGTCGTGACGCTCGGACGATGAGCAATTTTTTTTTTTAACCTTTATTTAACCAGGAAAAAGTCTCATTGAGATTAAAAATCTCTTCTACAAGATCGTCCTGGCCAAGACAGGCAGCAGCACAATTACAGGGTTTCAGACATAAAACACTTCACAACAATGAACATAAATACAGGAATCACAAAAAGAACCATTCATCAGAATCTGTCAGAAGTCATCAGCAACAAAGTGATCAAAAAGGGGCAATACGAGTTAGCTCAAACATCTACAGTCAGATGTTTCTGCCTCCAGATCATTAAGACGACCTTTAAAAACATTCAAGGAAACCAGCTCCCGAAAATTTAAAGTATCTTGCAACCGATTCAAAGAAGAGGGAGCAGCATACTTGAACACCCTTTTTCCTAATTCAGTACGGGCTTTAGGGATGGTTAGAAGGTGTAGATGGTAACTTCCTCTACTTTTTTGAAGTATGTAGCTCTGTAGGTAGGATGGAAGCAGACCGAGAATACCCTTATGAATAAAAATATGCCAGTGGTTTAGTCTACGTGCAGACAAGGCAGACCAACCAACCCGAGCATACAAGGACCAGGGGTGAGTAAGGGCTTTTAGATTAGTTGCTATGTCAGCAGAATGTTTGACTAGAGACGATCAAAGTAAATCTAACAGATTACTCAGTCTTCTTCATTTTTTCAGATTGTTATTGTCTCTTAGAAAGTGCCGCTTGGATTGCACTCTGTCCTGTCCCTGATGGACAAAAGCAAAGTCTGCTGGTGTTTGAGGGGAAAGTGTGAGAAGGAGAAGGAGTAAAGGGTGGCCTGAGGCAGCAGACAGCTCAGCTGGTGTCTGTCTGTCTGTCTGTCTGTGTGTGTGTCTGTCGCTGCTCTTATTAGGAGACTCTGACATTTTCTGTCAAAAAGTAAAGTTCCTCTACGCTTCACTTTGTCCGCAGGGACCCAGGATGTGCCAGAGTTTTTTCTTCTTTAGTAACTTCAGCGAGCGTGCGAACTCATACTGAGCCTGAAGCTCTGACAGGAACTGACAACATGAGTCATGTTTCCTGTGTTTCATTCCTGCACATTTAAAATCAGTACGTCTTTGTGCAACTTCCACTGACTCAAAGTTTAAAAGTTCAAATCTTAGAGTCAAACCAACACATGAATCCTCCAATTAAAGATAAACCCTGACCTGAATGTATTTAGGTGTCAGATCTTGAAGTGTAGCGTGTCCAGATTGAGTTGTTTGATTTTTAAATTGACTTTGTGTCTTATTTTGAGTCAGAAGCAGCAGGAACACTGCAGGATTTCTGCATAATAAAGTCTGTCCACGTTGTATGCCTGTGCTTGTGCTCGTTCATGAACTGCACCGGGCCGAAGCTCACCTCTTCAAAGCATGCCAGGGCCGAGGAAGTGTACCGTGCACTCATATAGTCAAAGGAACTTTAGAGGTGAACTGTGCTTGGGCACGGTGTCATGATTTGGTTTCTTATCTTGTAGATTTTCTTGTTGTATTTAGTTCTCATTCTTCCCTGATGGTGTTGTTTCCCTTGTGTGTTTTCTAGGTTAGTGTTTCATGTGTTATTTTTGTAACTTTGTATCCTAGAGTTTCTTCATGTTCTAGTGTGTTTTTGATACTTTCTTGAGTTCTGTGCGTCTTTAGTGTTTCATGATTTAGTTTGTAGTTGTATTCCTTCCTCTGTGTGTTTCCCTCCGTGTTGATTGCCCTCATTGCCCTCACCTGTGTTATTAGTCTCACCTGTGTTTGATTATCCCTGTGTCTATTTAGTCTCTGTGTTTCTTCCCTTGTGTTGTCAGATCATTGTTGTAAGTAGAGTGTAGTTTGTCCGGCTATGTCAGAGTTTCCAGTGTTTCTATTCTTTCCTCGTGGCTCCTTGTTTTCCCCTTTTGGATTTTGTTCTTGAAAGTTTTTGTTTTGCATTTTGCCTCTAGCCTTTTTGTTAAAATAAATTGTTTTTGTTAAGCATCTGCACTTCGGTCCAGTTTGTTCCCAATCGGGACACACGGTACGGCTTGCCTAGTTTGAGGTAGCCCTTAAATCTTCTGTGCTCCCACACAGGTGTTACAGATTGAGACCATGATTAGACCTCTTCTCAGGAATATGTGGACGAGTTTGTTTGAGTGACGGTTTCACTGACCTTCTGTAGAAACTCTGAGGAGTGGGACCAAACCTGAGACCATGCAGCTTACCGTTTAACAATAGAAGTGAATCTGCTGCGACTGTGTACAAGAAGAAATCTCTGCTCTTGTATTAAATCTTTCCCCTTGTGTAGGCCATGAAAAAGCGTCCCTCACATTTGGTACATTAAGTGTTTATGCCTCCTGATTCCCTGCAGGCGGGAGCTCGCCCGTTTGTTTCTGTGTTTGCATGAATCTGATGTGAAGTGAAGAAGACGTTCCATCAGGAATAAAGATGTCGGAGGAGTCGCAGGCTGCACGTTACAAAAAAAAAAAAAGTCAAGCTGAAGTAGAAAGTGGGAGCACTTCAAAGTCTGCAGCCTCACCTCGTCAAAGTCTGCGATGATTTCGTTGAGGAGCCGGAGGCACTCAACTCCCTGGTTGTTCATCTCCGTCTGAGAGTAGAAGTCGGCAAAGCCCGGGATGGAGGCGAACATGACGCCCACGGAGTCGTAGGACTGCGAGTACAGCTCCTGTGGGGACACACACGCACATCAGACAATTTGACTTCAAGAGGTTTCACTTCATCACAAGCGTTTGTCGACGTAGATTTACAGGACGTTCTCAGTCAGTTAATATTTTTTGAAATGGTCATTGTTGAAGTGTTGATTTAAATTAAGAAAGATGATTAGATTGATCCTGTGTCTGAAAACAACAAAGGGTTAAAACGCTCTCAGAGCTGTACATAGAGGATGAGAAAGAACACAATGCCTGAAACAGAGAGCACACTTTTTAAAATAACAAACATAACATCACCTCCAAAGCGCCGGAGAATCGACTCAATATAAAGTACATCTCCTTTCAACACTTCAGATTCATTTTTGTGCCCCGTTGGCAGATTGTGTTTCTAATTAGAAAGATTCGAGATGGAACGTGTTCGTCCCACAAAGTGAGAAACGTGTCTCTGGCTCTTCTACAAGAAGACAACAATCAACATCATTCACATTCAACACAAAACATTATTAAGTAATGTCCAGAAAAAATGTAAGAAGATAAAGAACGAGGTTCTTATCAGTGCACACTGAAGTTACTATTCTGAACTTTTTCCCCAACAATGTTTGAGATGTGCGTGGAAATACGAGTAGATTAGAAGTTGGTGAAGTACTCAGACCAGCCCGTCTGACACCAACAACCGCGCCACATTCAAAGTCGATTAAATCAACTTTCTTCCCCAATCTGATGCTCGGTTTGAACTTCAGAAGATCATCTTGACTGTGTCTACAAGCCTTGTCAAGTTACTTTCTGGTGTGTGTAAAAATGTCTGCCCGAACTTGAAAAAGGCCTAGAAGGTGAC